GGACCTGCGTGTCTTGAACCGGGCCCTTCACTGGTTACCGTTCAAGATGTTGACGCAGAAAAGCAACTTCGGGTGCATCCATCCCCGAGATTGATTTGCAGCGGTCGACCTGAAGGACGCGTACTTCATGTGTCGACCCTTCCACACCACAGACCATTGCTGTGGTTCGCGTCCGAAGGACGAGCATATCAGTACGAGGTCCTGCCCTCTGGGCTGTCCCTGTTGCCCCGTGTCTTCACGTAAGTTGCGGAGGTACCCCTTGTTCCCCTGAGAGAACAAGGCATTCGCATTCTCAACTACCTCGACGACTGGCTTGTACTCGCTCAGTCTCAGGATTAATTGTGCGAACAGGATTTGGTGCTCTCACACCTCAGCCTGTTGGGCCTTTGGGTCAACTGGGAAAAGAGCAAACTCTCCCCGACGCAGAGGATCTCTTTTCTCAGTATGGAGTTGGACTCGGTCGAACAGACATCACGCCTCACGCAGGAACGTGCTCAGTCGGTGTTGAACTGCTTGAATACATTCAAGAGCAGGGTGGTGATCCCACTGAAACAATTTCAGAGGCTCCAGGGGCATATGGCAGATACGGTGGCAGTCACGCCACTGTTGCTGCTTCATATGAGACTGCTTCAGCACTGGCACCATGGCTGAGTCCCGAGGTGGGCGTGGCAACGCGGCACTCACCGGGTCCAAGTGACACCGGCCTGCCGCTAAACCTTCACCCCGTGGTCAGACTTTGCGTTTCTCCAGACAGGAGTGCCCCTAGAACAGGTCTTCAGACATACTGTGGTTTACCCGGATGCCTCAACCACCGGCTGGGGGGCCATGTACAACGGGCTTGCAGTGTCAGGGGTTTGGACAGGGCCCCAAACTGCACTGGCACGTCAACTGCCTCAGAGTTGCTGGCAGTGCACCTTGCCTTGAGCCGTCTCAAAGGGCGCTTATGAGGCAAGCATGTACTAGTCCGGGACAACGCGGCGACCTCTGCGTACATCAACTGACAAGGTGGTCTGTGCTCCCGTCGCATGTCGCAACTCGCCCTCCACCTCCTGAGGTCGCTTCATGCTGTTCACATTCCTGGGCTGCTCAACCGGGCAGCCGACGAGCTATCTCGAGCTGTGCTCCCGGGAGAATGGCGACTCCATCTCCAGACGGTCCAGCTGGTTTGGAGACCTTTCGGAGCCACTCAGGTAGACCTGTTTCCCTCTCCAGAAACCTCTCACTGCCAGTTGTTCTTCTCCCTGACCGAGGGAACACTCGGCACGGACGCACTGGCACACAGCTGGCCGCGGGGCCTTCGCAAACATGCATTTCCCCCAGTGAGCCTTCTAACACAGATACTGTGCAAGGTCAGGGAGGACGAGGAGCAGGTCCTGTTGGTGGCACCCTATTGGCCTACCCGGACCTGGTTACTCCACCCTCAAAGTTTATGTCGCTGCAATCGATGCTAACCACGTTGAAGGGAAGGCACTGGGGAAGCAGGACCTGGTTGTCAGGTTCCTTAAGGGGGCGAGAAGGCTAAATCCTCCACGGCCCCCCTCTATACCCTCTTGGGACCTGACTCTAGTGCTCACAGCACTACAGCAGGGCCCATTTGAGCCTTTGCAGACGGTCAAGCTGAAATTTCTTTCGATGAAGACTTTGCTCCTGCTGGCATTGGCCTCCATCAAGAGGGTAGGGGACCTGCATGCACTTTCTGTCAACGATTTGTGCCTAGAGTTCGGACCGGCTGACTCCCAGGTAACCCTGAGGCCCGACCCGGCTATGTGCCCAAGGTTCCCGCTACTCTCTTCAGGGATCAGGTGGTGAACCTCCAAGCGCTGCCCTCGGAGGAGGCAGACCCAGCCCTAGCTTTGCTCTGTCCCGTCTGAGCCTTCAGGTGCTACATAGACCGGACGCAAAGCTTCAGGACCTCAGACCAGCTCTTTGTCTGTCACGGAGGCCGGCAGAAGGGGAATGCCGTCTCTAAGCAGAGGATGGTCCACTGGATAGTGGATGCCATCACCCTGGCTTATCAGGCACAGGGTGTGCCCTGCCCGTTCGGGTTGCGAGCTCACTCAACTAAAAGTGTTGCATCCTCCTGGGCGCTGGCTCGTGGTGCCTCGCTGGAGGATATCTGTAGAGCTGCGGGCTGGGCGACCCCTAACACGTTCGCTAGATTCTATAGTCTTCATGTGGAGCCGGTATCCTCCTGTGTTCTTACCTCAAACGGGTAGAAGCACTGAGAGGCCCCGGCTTCGGGACGGCTTGCTGAAACCCCTCCAGAGACACCATATAGTAGACCCTGTTGAGCTCCTCCGTCCCCTCGGCAGCCAGACGTGGCGGAGCGTCCGGCGCCAGGCCTTCACTCGTTGAATCCTCGAGAACCGGTAGAAGGCTGGGTTCCATATGTAAGACCTAAGTGGATCCCATATGTGTAAAGTCCACGGTATAGCCTCGAGCCCGTGTTTCCCCGGCAGACTTCTGCCATTCCAAGAGGGTTACAATCACCTCCATTCTTCCATATGCACCTAAGGAATGGTCATATGTGTATTTGCTTCCAAAACCTCCTTCGGGAAGGCTGGAGCTTCCGTAACATCCCTGTTCCAAGTAGAACAGGTACGTTTTCCCAGTGTTATCCAGTCTTACTCATTGGGTAGTGCCATAGCAGCAGTAGCTGGTCCTCTTGTGAAGAAGCCCTGGCCTACGCCAAAAAATAGGGGCGCAGGTGGCTTCCACAGGACACTGGAAGGGGCAGTAGCTGTGGCCCTTTGGTAGGATCCCAATTTCGTCGGTCATATCCCAATTCGTCGTCATCCGACGTGACGTCTCCGTTTCCTCCTTCAGGGAACAAGGGTTACCATATGTAACCGAGACGTTTTTACAGTATATTTAATCAAATAAATGCAGCCTTGGTGAACCTAAGAGACTTTTATAAAAAAACATTAAAAAAAATCTTTACAACCTCAAACACAAACAACAGTAGTGTATGTAACAGGATTACTCTGTTTGTAAGGCTGCTGCTATTTACACCAGACACAAATGGAAAGTTAGTATTTTATACTTCACCTAAGGTAGTAGATATGGACTTTGACTAACATCCTTCTGTCCTTCGTCTCTCTCTGTTTCTCAGAAAGCGGACCAGGTGCATGAGCTGCTGTTGGATGTCATAACGTGGGTGGGGATCCTGCTGTCTCTGGTCTGTCTGCTCATCTGCATCTTCACCTTCTGTTTCTTCCGCGGTCTCCAAAGCGACAGGAACACCATCCACAAGAACCTCTGCATCTCCCTCTTTATAGCCGAAACACTCTTCCTCACTGGAATCAACCGTGCAGACCAGCCCGTACGACACACACACACCAGCTCCGTATGGAAAGCACCACATATACACACTTGATGGATTTAGATTTATTGCAGAACACACACACTATTCTTTAAGTTGTTAAATTGGGCACCTGGCTCTTGTTAATTACATAAATGGAGAGGGTCTTTGACCTCTCGTTAATAACAAAAATCTCATTGTATCCTCAGAGAGAGGCAAAGAGAGAGTGAGAGAGGAGAATATAAGCAAAGACAAATGGAAAATGACAAAGATAAAATGCAGGAAATCCGTCGGGAAATTTCTGAAGTGATAACAGAACAGACTGTTAAGACTCAAAGCAGAGAGTCACAGATCACACAGATACTGGTAGATAGTTACAGCACCTTTTGTGCTTAGCATGTATGTCTTTGTTACAGATCGTCTGTGCGGTGTTTGCGGCTCTGCTGCATTTCTTCTTCTTGGCTGCATTTACATGGATGTTTCTGGAAGGCGTACAGCTGTACATCATGCTGGTGGAAGTGTTCGAGAGCGAGTACTCGCGCACCAAGTACTTCTATCTTACTGGATACGGAGTGCCTGCTGTTATAGTGGCTGTGTCTGCCGCAGTGGACTATCGCAGCTATGGAACCGAAAGAGTGTATGTATATGACAGATACAATTGGCAATATAATGCACTTAAAAAAATTTTTTAAAAACATTTCCAACATTATTGCTCAAGAAAGATTAACCATGCACCATGTGTTGACAGTATGTGCCATTAAACAGCCTTTTCAGAGACATTTTAACAGTAAAACAATTATAAATCACCAACAGCAAAAATGTAAACAGTAACATAAAATATTTCAAAAAATGAACAAAAATGGCAAAACTTTGTTTTAGCACCCACTCTGTATGTGTATGTATGAAAAAAAAGATACAAAGCTGTCACTGTAAGGTGCAACAGCTACTTCTTTGTACATGTTTAATCCTTAAAGTTACACATCAGTATTTAAAAAGTACATATTTGTACCTTATGACAGTTTTGGGCCCTTTTTCTGAGAGTGTCTGTAGTTGCCAGATAATATGACAGTGTAGTTTTATTGTGTTCACTTGTTTATACAACAGCTATTACAAATATTTTAGTTTGAAGGGCAAAATTTATTTAAAACAGAAAAAATCTAATTGAAGAGAGCTTTGAAAGACACCTTTTGAGAGAAAACACATTTATGCAATTGGACTTTTGACTCAAAACCTTTTAGTTAAACAGTTTACCCTACATAATTAAAAGTACACTTATTTTACATAATTATTCCACACAATGTTTACACAAAATAATCCTCTAGAAAATAAATAACTTAAAAATAAAAATCCACTAGAAATTAAATAAAGGCATTGCTTATTATTCATTGAGAGAGCTTTCAGTAGATTTTGGAACTGACATAAGGGGGAAGTAACACTTTAATTGGCCAAGCAGACATACGTATCAGCCAGTTAATCTGTCTGGCCAATGTATTGGTCTATCACTAGTGTGATGTCCAAAATGCATCTGTCGGCTTCCAATTTTGCTTGCAAAGACCCAGTTGCCTTCTTACGAGCAATTTTGCTTAGCGGTTAAGGAAGAATGTAGGTTCAATCCCAGGATTTAGTGACACAGGAAAAGAGTTACTGAGATCACAGACGTGCTCTATTAGCACAGTGCCCTTGAGCAAGACACATCACAGCAGACTGCTCAAGGGGGAATGGCTATGCAATTAGTGCCCTGAAAGTCACTTTGGATAAAAACACAACTGCTTTGTTGCAAATGACTTCATGAGCACAAATAACTTGACTCAAATCAATTATTAATTCACTCATTAAAGGGATAGTTCACCAAAAAATAAAAACTCTGTCATCATGTACTTACCCTCATGCCATTACAAATTCATATAATAATATTTGAATAATGTTTCAGCTGTTTTGTCCTTGAAATAAAGGTCAGGGGGGTCCAAAATATTAATATTTCTCTCTCTCTCTCTTTCTTTTTATATTAAAAGAAATGTATGTTTATTTATCAATTACACATTAAGCTGACCAAAAGTAACAGTAAAAACATTTGCATAGTTAAAAAAGATTGTTCTTTTGAACTTTCTATTCATCAAAGGATCCTGAAAAAAACTTATCACAACACTGATAAGAAGAAATGTTTCTTTAGCATCAAATCAGCAGAAATGAATAAGTTTATTTAGCAATTACACATTAAGTTGATCAAAAGTAACAGTAAAAACATTTACATAGTTACAAAAGGTTGTTCTTTTGAACGTTCTATTCATCAAAGAATCCTGAAAAAATGTATCAAAACATTGATAATAAGGAATAACATTTCTTTAGCATCAAATCAGCATGAATGTTTAATTTCTGAAGGATCAAGTGACACTGAAGAATGGAGTAATGGCTGCTGAAAATTCAGCTTTTCCATCACAGGAATAAATTACTTTTTAAAATATAGAAATTATTTTAAACTGTAATAATATTTCAGAATATGTCTCTTTCTTACTGTACAGTATTTGATCAAATAAATGCAGCCTTGGTGAGCACAAGAGACTTTCAAAAACATTGACAAAAATCTTACCCACCCCAAACTTTACTGTAACAGTACAGTAAGTACACCAAATATGAATAAAATTAAAGACATGCCATCTAAAATCAGACATGTCATCTAAAAACATGCTTCTCTCTTTGATAGCAATAAGCCACAAAATTACTTGACTTGTGATCAGTGAGTGGAGGAAATCAGAAATCCCTCTAATGCTGTCTACTCCAGCAAAATGTTTTGCAAGTGCCAAGCGCATCAGATCAGGTTGTACTGAAAGTCGCCTGTGCGACTTTCACGAGTTCTGAAATGGGCAAAATGGTGAAATTGCCCTAATTCATATTCATAAAGAAACTTGTTCAGCTGGCATCACTGCAGTTAGTGGCCAGACACAGCCGTAAGGGATGTTCACTCAGATAAATATTTCAGCAAAAATCATAATTTAAAGATGAGATGCTGAATGTGGCATGTGAATAAGTGGTGGTCACTCATGCACAAAGTCTCACCAGACCACAGAATTAGGTCACACTCATTTAAAAACTAGAAATGAATCTAAGGGAGGGAGGGAGAAGAATACTATTTTACTGCATATCCTGTTAACCTGAGCCAACAGGGGAGATCTAAACAAGGGCGTAGGGATCCTTATGCAGGGAAAACATGGCCGTGCTACTTTTAGAACATTCGTCCCCCCACTTGTTGGCAGATAATCAGTGCTTTTCATGCCGTAATGTGTCCCCCACACTTGCAAGTTTTTTCTGCACCTCTATATAAATACCATGGTAGAGAGGAGCATAAATTAAGGTGTTGTCATGGCAGATGGTTGGTGAAATCAGTGCCAGGCTGGTAAGAGCAAAAATATAGCACAAAGAGCATGTCTGCGTGGCCTAATCCCATGCGCACATGAATTGAAATTCCTAAAATATTTATAATCCTATTTGGTTTCTGCATTCCCTAGCATATGGTATCTGTTCTTTAAAGAGGGAGCATGTCTGACTGTGTTGGTGGCCTGGAACACACACACATATGCACACACACTCTAACAGCGATGCTTCCACTCCTGCTGGGCTGTAGAGGTGATTTCAGTATAGCAGAGATGAAGATTTTAATAATTCAGCTCTGGGTTGTCAGTCACCCCTTGAGGTTCCAAACGTTCCATGGCCAATGAGCCTGTTCTGAATGCGATGATCAACCAAACACCAGAACATAACGCGAACATTCCTTCCTGGAACTCAAACTTTCTTTGATCTTAATTGGAGAGGGTTGGAAATCAGTTTCATTTGAAAATCTCTCTCTTGCTCTCTTTTTCTGTGTAGGTGCTGGCTAAGGTTGGATACTTACTTTATCTGGAGTTTCATTGGGCCTGCTACTCTCATCATCATGGTGAGTTTAACACACACACTGGGGTTTTAGAGAATGATAGAGCAAAGCCAATTCCACACTGGCGCACACACACCCACACGGGGGGTTCAGATAATGGTCTGTCGAGGGCATTTTCCCAATTACGGGAAAGTCACAGTCACCCCACCAGACAAGCTGAGCATCCCCATTGCTATATATAGAGAAAGATGGAGTGTGTATGTGTGTGTGGAAGTTGGGTTTGCTTTATCTTGATTGTTTATTGTGTATATTTCTGAATTTTTAGCAGTGTTCTGATTTGGAATGTACTGAAATTTTGTGAGAAAATAGACTGAAATCTCAGCTGAAACACTGCTTTAAGTCAAACAACCACTTTTTTTTTTTTAAGATTTTTTTTTTCTTTTCACTTTATTAGTATAGGACGGTGTAGAAGTGACAGGGAGCAAAGTGGGAGAGCGGGAGAGGGGGGTGAGAAGCCACTCTGGAAAAGAGATGCACATGGACAAAAATTTTAAACATTTATGCAGTTTACATTTGTTTGTTTTTTTCTAATTGTGTATACATAATGTCTGACATAATTCAAACACAATTATATCTATATGAAATATATCATTAAAACAAAAAATACAATGTGTGTGTATAGATAGATAGATAGATTTCCCCTTGCATATTGGTTGTTTAATGCAATGATTTTCTGTTCGCGAACAGGTTGTACACATGCACTTATTTTGTACAGTACTGTATGTGCATTATACAAACAGTGAGATATTAACCTACATATCTTATGCAATATACTGTAGGGTGAAGAAGTGCTTGTATAGAAAAAAAAATCAGTTTGGGAGTTATTGTGATTTTCTCTTGCACATAATAATGTGTGCAAGATCTGTTTGGAATAGGCAATATCACATTTATCAACAAACAGTAACAGATGCATAAATGCTGTTCTATACTGTTATCAATTTATTTAATAACTATATATACCATTGTTTTTCCCAAACAAAGAAAAAAAATCAGTTTGGGAGTTATTGTGATTTTCTCTTGCACATAATAATGTGTGCAAGATCTGTTTGGAATAGGCAATATCACATTTATCAACAAACAGTAACAGATGCATAAATGCTGTTCTATACTGTTATCAATTTATTTAATAACTATATATACCATTGTTTTTCCCAAACAAAGGCTTGTTTAATTATTTTTAATAATTATTTTATATATTATATTATTTTAATAATTTTCAGATTAATTGGCTCCATAATTTTCAGTTTTGGCCAAGAATGTTCATTTTGGTGCATCACTAGTTCCCATGATAAAATTGTGATTTTCAGGCTTAGAAAAGCATGGAGAAATGTGAATCCTCCATTGAGCTATTCTGCATCGCTTTATTCATTTAAATCTGTTCATTCTAAATTAATTTCTGATATACAAGTGAGATTATGCTCAGTAAGGATTTCAGAAATCACAAATGAATGGCAAGGTCCTCTTTTATAGTTTTAAATAGTCATTGCATTTGTATTATGCATTTATTGTTTTGTGTTGCAGCTAAATGTTATTTTCCTGGGCATTGCACTATATAAGATGTTTCACCACACAGCGATTCTCAAGCCTGACTCCGGTTGCCTGGACAACATCAAGTAAGGCATTTATTCTGAGTTTCAATGTGTGTGTGCTTTATTGCTTTTCTTGCTTACACTGCGACTGTCTTTATTTTCACTAAACACGCAATTGTCCTTTAATTCTGGACCGTTCCTTAGAGGTGTTTAAATGAGAAGAATGTTCTACTGCCTATCTAAAGTTAGATGAAGTTTAAAGTGTCTTTTATCTGTCATTTTCTCCTTGATGTTTAAGTTCTGATGGGACCGAATCAGTAATGATTAAAAAAAAAAAAAATCACATAAACCGCATTCCCTGCGCTATTTATTCAAATTAAGTCAGCATCATCTTTAAGAGCTAGGACACTTGGGGCTGGCATATCAGGGTGTACTGATACACAGCCAGTAATGTGGGGGATCAGAAAGTGTGTAATGCACAGTGTGTGTAGCATGTCTCATCTATACTCTACAGCCCACTGGCAGACAGTACATACTGAATCTAGGTTAGTTAGCATATTTCAGTAATTGATTATTCTTTTTGATGTTCAGAACACAGGCAGAGGAGTCACTGTTAAAAACTGTGACCCAAATGCGGAAATTCTGCACAAATATTCATGTTATACAACTGTTACAGTACTCTTATTTGATTGGACAAGTGGCATTCCAGAAACACTGATATGTAGTAACAGCAGTGGGACTTTCCAAACTGTCAATTTGTACATTAGTGTTAGGGATTTTCAGGTTACATCGATGCACTATTTTAATGGTTCAAAACTCTGATTAATTTTGAGTGAGTCATTGAATCATTTACTCAACCAAATTGTTAAAAAGCACTGATTAATTCAAGAATGTTATATAAGTGTTATATTTTAGTATTATTCATATACTATTACTGATTTTATTTAACTATTTATTTTGAATTGGCTTTTATTTTTATCTGTCAGTTTTGATTTTAGTTAATTTTTTTTATTTTAGTTTTAGTTAACAACTGAAACAAACTGAGTATTGCTGCAGCCATGCAACGGATGATTCTGTTTCAGCTTCTTTGGAACTGTCTTCATGGGAGAACAAAGTTACTAAATATTAACTTCTACAGTTAACAGTTAAAAAACCTGTTCACCATGTTTACAAGTTTACAAAACTTTATTATAAACAGCTATAGTACCACCAAAAGTATTTCGATGTTTCAGCCACACTTAAAAATATACAAATGTCAGTACAATAAATAAGAAAAACCTGTTCTGTGCCAATGTCACTTAAACACAAATAAAATTTTAATGTGTAACTATATATTTCCATTCAAAAGTTTGAAGTCAGTAAGATTTTTTTTATTGTTTTTGAAAGAAGCCTCATCCAGAAAGAAAGAAGGCTCACCAAGGCTGCTAATATTTGATCAAAAACGGTGAAAACCATAATATTATGAAATGTTATTACAATTTAAAATAACAGTTTTGTGGTGCATTTCTGTGATGCATTTTTTTTTTAAAGGATTTTGATGAATATAAAAGTTCAAAAGAACTACATTTATTTGAAATAGAAATATTTTGTAACAGTGTAAATGTCCTTACTGTCACTTTTGAGCAATTGAATTTGTCCTTGCTGGATAAAAGTACACATTTCTTTCAGATAATAACAAAAATCTTACTGACCTCAAAGTTTGAATGGTGGTGGTGTGTGTGCATATCTCTGTCTTTATATATATTTGTATAATATTTCCACACAGTGGGACAAACTCAGGTTTTTGTGTCCATGGCAACTGTGCACTCTCATATACCTAACAGAAGAGCTTTTCTTCTCACTATAAAGTACATACTATAGCCCTATTGCCATTATCTAACCCTAACCTTCCTACTATAAGTCTCTTTACGTGTTTAATTATTTTTAATAATTATTTTATATATTATATTATTTTAATACTTTTCAGATTAATTGGCTCCATAATTTTCAGTTTTGGCCAAGAATGTTCATTTTGGTGCATCACTAGTTCCCATGATAAAATTGTGATTTTCAGGCTTAGAAAAGCATGGAGAAAGGTGAATCCTCCATTGAGCTATTCTGCATCGCTTTATTCATTTAAATCTGTTCATTCTAAATTAATTTCTGATATACAAGTGAGATTATGCTCAGTAAGGATTTCAGAAATCACAAATGAATGGCAAGGTCCTCTTTTATAGTTTTAAATAGTCATTGCATTTGTATTATGCATTTATTGTTTTGTGTTGCAGCTAAATGTTATTTTCCTGGGCATTGCACTATATAAGATGTTTCACCACACAGCGATTCTCAAGCCTGACTCCGGTTGCCTGGACAACATCAAGTAAGGCATTTATTCTGAGTTTCAATGTGTGTGTGCTTTATTGCTTTTCTTGCTTACACTGCGACTGTCTTTATTTTCACTAAACACGCAATTGTCCTTTAATTCTGGACCGTTCCTTAGAGGTGTTTAAATGAGAAGAATGTTCTACTGCCTATCTAAAGTTAGATGAAGTTTAAAGTGTCTTTTATCTGTCATTTTCTCCTTGATGTTTAAGTTCTGATGGGACCGAATCAGTAATGATTAAAAAAAAAAAAAATCACATAAACCGCATTCCCTGCGCTATTTATTCAAATTAAGTCAGCATCATCTTTAAGAGCTAGGACACTTGGGGCTGGCATATCAGGGTGTACTGATACACAGCCAGTAATGTGGGGGATCAGAAAGTGTGTAATGCACAGTGTGTGTAGCATGTCTCATCTATACTCTACAGCCCACTGGCAGACAGTACATACTGAATCTAGGTTAGTTAGCATATTTCAGTAATTGATTATTCTTTTTGATGTTCAGAACACAGGCAGAGGAGTCACTGTTAAAAACTGTGACCCAAATGCGGAAATTCTGCACAAATATTCATGTTATACAACTGTTACAGTACTCTTATTTGATTGGACAAGTGGCATTCCAGAAACACTGATATGTAGTAACAGCAGTGGGACTTTCCAAACTGTCAATTTGTACATTAGTGTTAGGGATTTTCAGGTTACATCGATGCACTATTTTAATGGTTCAAAACTCTGATTAATTTTGAGTGAGTCATTGAATCATTTACTCAACCAAATTGTTAAAAAGCACTGATTAATTCAAGAATGTTATATAAGTGTTATATTTTAGTATTATTCATATACTATTACTGATTTTATTTAACTATTTATTTTGAATTGGCTTTTATTTTTATCTGTCAGTTTTGATTTTAGTTAATTTTTTTTATTTTAGTTTTAGTTAACAACTGAAACAAACTGAGTATTGCTGCAGCCATGCAACGGATGATTCTGTTTCAGCTTCTTTGGAACTGTCTTCATGGGAGAACAAAGTTACTAAATATTAACTTCTACAGTTAACAGTTAAAAAACCTGTTCACCATGTTTACAAGTTTACAAAACTTTATTATAAACAGCTATAGTACCACCAAAAGTATTTCGATGTTTCAGCCACACTTAAAAATATACAAATGTCAGTACAATAAATAATAAAAACCTGTTCTGTGCCAATGTCATTTAAACACAAATTAAATTTTAATGTGTAACTATATATTTCCATTCAAAAGTTTGAAGTCAGTAAGATTTTTTTTATTGTTTTTGAAAGAAGCCTCATCCAGAAAGAAAGAAGGCTCACCAAGGCTGCTAATATTTGATCAAAAACGGTGAAAACCATAATATTATGAAATGTTATTACAATTTAAAATAACAGTTTTGTGGTGCATTTCTGTGATGCATTTTTTTTTTAAAGGATTTTGATGAATATAAAAGTTCAAAAGAACTACATTTATTTGAAATAGAAATATTTTGTAACAGTGTAAATGTCCTTACTGTCACTTTTGAGCAATTGAATTTGTCCTTGCTGGATAAAAGTACACATTTCTTTCAGATAATAACAAAAATCTTACTGACCTCAAAGTTTGAATGGTGGTGGTGTGTGTGTATATCTCTGTCTTTATATATATTTGTATAATATTTCCACACAGTGGGACAAACTCAGGTTTTTGTGTCCATGGCAACTGTGCACTCTCATATACCTAACAGAAGAGCTTTTCTTCTCACTATAAAGTACATACTATAGCCCTATTGCCATTATCTAACCCTAACCTTCCTACTATAAGTCTCTTTGTCACCAAATCAGTAATAGAAAAAAATACTTTTTAATGAGCTGAGAGAAATGCCTCTGCTAGCACAGGATACAAGATGGCCGATTTAATAAAGTAAAAGTTAAGTTAGAAAATCAGGCCCAGTCAAAAATGTAGCCTCAGCACAAAATTCCATTCAAAGTTCTGAAGCTGCCGTGCATAGAATAGATTATCTGGGCTCCTGCAAGGCTATTGGCTACTGAGAGCTTAACCCCACCCACCATCACAGCTCTCACTTTATCATAAGGTGCAAGGGCTGCTAAACGTACTTGCAGTCTGGCTGTTGTTATTGGGTTTTTTTCCCTCTTATACCATCACATTCCATACCCCAATATGTACATTTGTGTCGACTGAGAAAATTCAACCATATTTCACCATCATTATCATAAGTAGAAGTTTTCATTTTATTTGTTTGTGTTGAGTTTGTTTTGTTTTATTTATGATGTTTATGAATCATTCATCAGCCTCATCTGTCTTTTTTTCTTTGTTGTTTCCTTTTCCATCCTTTTTTTCTGTTTTACATTTCAGCATTCTGTTGAGGCATGGCTTGTTATGGATAGTCACTGGTAAGGGTCTCCAGCCAATCAGAGTGCCAGTTCTGTGAATCACGCATTCTGATTGGAGTGTTTAGCTGTGTAGTACCTCCACTGTTTGATTGATTCTCTGAATGTTAAAATTATTTAAGTGATTCATCAATTCTCCAGTGTGGCTCTTTGAAATGAACAATGTAATTATAATTCTTCATGAGTGCGTTCTCTCTCTGCATCAGTCCCGAGTTAGTTCAAAATCAATATATCTGTCTGTCTGTCTGTCTGTCTTTCCATCTTGATCCACCATTATTTATTTATTATTATTGTCTCTGATGGAAACAATAATTCATATTTACTGTCTCTCTGCATATCGTCTCAAAAGTTTCTCCCTGTCTTTCTGTACGTCTGTCTCTCTCTTTCTCTGTCTCATACTTTCTAATGATCTTGTTTCAGTGCCAAACATTAGCCTGTCACATTAGCGCAGTTCACAGTATAAATGGGTTGCAAGCTTAATATGTGTGAGTCTAAGTGTGTGTGTGTGTGTGTGAATGACCCCAAAGACTAAATTACATCACTAAATGAGTGTGAGGCTCAGTGCTAAGTACAGACTAGTAGACATTATGGCTGGAGCCAGCTTGACATTTGACTGCTGTAGAATAAAGCCTTTCTCTGAGACAGTTTATAATCGGATCCTACTATTGTCAAAGTGAGGAAACAGATACAGTCCAATAAAATAACATAACATTTTAATATACTTAGATCATATAAACTAGCTGAGGTCATACATGTGTCGAGTGTGTGTGAGTGAGAGTTATGCACTTGATCTGTTTAATTTATCTTTATCTCTCTCTCTCTTAGGTCCTGGGTTATAGGTGCCATAGCTCTGCTGTGTCTGCTGGGGCTGACCTGGGCATTTGGGCTGATGTATATCAATGAGAGTACAGTCATCATGGCCTACCTCTTTACCATCTTTAACTCGCTGCAGGGAATGTTCATCTTCATATTTCACTGCATCCTGCAGAAGAAGGTGACACACACAAACGCAAATTCACTTAAGTGTGCTTCTTCAATTAGTGGCACTTTTGACTACTTGAAAGTTTGAAAAATTAAACTTAGTTATGCATTTATCACATTAGATCATGGCCTTGATCAAGCTTGGATTGATCGAGTGGGTTTTTTTATATTGTGTGTGATGCTAATGCAATTTTTCAGTTTTTAGCGGAAAACAAGTTTGCTACTAGTGAATAAGTTTAAACTAAAATAGTTGTTTCTTAATTCTCAAATACTAACTAGGTTGGAAATGGCACCTACTGAAGCTACTCTCAGATCAGGGTGTAAAAAGAATATTAAAAATGATTTTACATAAAGAATCCTGAAAAAAAAATTTGAGGACCTAATCAGCATATTAGTATGATTTCTAAAGGATCATGTGACACTGAAGACTGGATTAATGGCTGCTGAAAATTCAGCTTTGTCATCACAGGAATAAATTACATTTTAAAAATATATTAAAATAGTGTGCACAAGAATCTTAATCATTAACCTCCCCCCCCAAAAAAAATGTAACATGTATTAGTGTAGTAGTGCATATAAAACGTTCTTATTGAAAAGTGCAAGTAGAATTGCCTGATTTTCTTTATAAATATAAAATAAATATAATTTTTATTATAATTTAATTTAAAAAATCTGGTAAATTTAGGGCCATGATGAAAATCGAATACGTTTGAATATGTCATCTAAAGCTAAAAAGATTATTTTTAAAATCATCCTAGCTGACAGAAAAATTCCCCTAATTTGAAGAATCATCCATGTATGTTATGCAAACATCTGCAGTATTGCAATCACGTGCACATACGCATACTGAGGCTCAAATGACCTCTTTCCTGGGCATTTTTACAAAGGGTTTACTGGCCTCTCATTAGTAATGATCTCATTAATCAACCCTTCTGTCACATGCATGCTCAATTAGAGACCCTCAGCTCATCAGATTTATTTAGCTCATGATAGATTTTAAACCTTTTAATTATCTGATGGCCGACTGGTGGATTGCTTCCAGAGTCATTTAGCATGAAAATGCTCATACACATTACACTGGTGCATTTTAGCTGTAAAGGGAAACAGATATTGATTCAAGAAATATATTATGTGTATGTGTGAATATTTCTATCATGTATTGACAGACAGAAATATCGGACTGTTGTGGAATTTGATTATGTATTCCGCTAACCAACCTTTCACATTAAACAGATATGCGTGCAGGCAACTTCTAAGCCTAAAGTGGGTGATTTTAGAGATTTTTGGCTAATCTACCTAATGGATCTGAACACAATATATATATATATATATATATATATATATATATATATATATATATATATATATATATATATATAT